GTAGACACTATTATTATACTTATTATACAGATGAGGAAATCAAGGCAGAGCAGACATTCATAAAATGTGTTTTGAAATGAATATACTTCAAGTGGAGCCATGGAGTTGTCCAACAATCTCTTGATTCATTCATTCCCTCAAAAGATATTTTAAAACTCATCCTCATCTAAGTACCTGACCAACTTGTTTTCCTTTTTCACCAAGAAAATCAGAGATATATAATGCAAACTCTGCAGTGTATCTCAATCCCTCCCAAAAGTTCATCCTCTGTACTTCAAAGTGGTTGGCTCTATATTTTCCCCCTCCATGTCTGACTTGTTCAATATGGCATGGAGTAACCATTCCACACTTTTTTTTAAAGTCAGAGTCCCACTCTGTCACCCAGGCTGGAGTGCAGGGGCACACTCATGGCCACTGCAGCCTCGATCTACTGGGCTCAGGCTATCCTTCCACCTCATTCTTCCAAGTAACTGGAACCATAGGCATGTGCCACCTTAGCACTAAATGCCCCATATGGATAGGAGCCATGTCTGACTTGCTTACAGTAACAAGTACAGTGAATGCATGGAGCAACTGCTCCAGATATTTTTTTAATTCTATTTGTTATTCTTATATCTCTGCTGAAGGAAATATGATCCTTATTCTTGGGGCCACCAGGTTTCCAAGCTTGAAAGTCAGCATTAATTGATTTTCTTGGCCTCCTTGTTGAACCTTGAAATCCTGACTAGTCATCCTTTAGAAAACCACTGGCATCTGGTTCTTCCTTTCCACTTGTACTGCCACTTCAGAGAGACCTTTGTTGGACAAAGGAAGAAAACTCTTTGTTCTACCTCTAAGTCTCTAATCAATCTAATGTACTCCTTGAGATTTGATCTTCCTACACAATCAATTACACATGGGCAAAAGCCTTCAGTACCATGCCAACATGCCTTAACTAAAGTCCAGAACTTTGAAGTTGGTGTCCAGATCCTCCAAGATCTGGTTCCTAACAGCCTCTTTAGCCCTCTCTTTTGCCAGTTTCCTTCACTACCTCATGGGTCTCACATGAAAGAATGTGTAACTATGTCTAAAAAAACTAACAGAAAGTATATGAATATATATATATATATTTTTTTTTAACCAAAGAGAAAACATCAAGAAAGAGGCAGACATCATAAAAAGTAAACAAAGAATTTTGGAGCTGAAAAGTAAAGTAATTGGGATGAAATTTTTACAAGAGGGTCTCTATAGCAAATCTGAACTAGCAGAAGAAGGTATCAGCAACTTTGAAGACAGGTCAAACAAGATGATCCCTTCTGAGAAACAGGGAAAAAAAGAGATAAAAGAACAGAGCCTCAGAGACCAGAGGGACACCATCAAGTGCACCAACATATGCATAACAGAATTGCAGAAGGAGTGAAAGAAGCAAAAAGGAATAATAATAATTTGCTAAAACATCCCAAATTTGATGGAAAACATTAATCTACACATCTAAGAAGTTCAATTAACTCCAAGCAGGATAAACTCAAAGGTATACACAAAATCAACAGAGTGAAGTAAAAAAATATATAGACTTTGAGTCCAACAAAAGTTAAGCCCAAGTCAGCTCTGTCGCAAACCACTTGAAATGAGGCAAACTTCCTTCCCTTCTTTAAGTTTCTATTCTTCTTCTGTAGAATAGGAGATATCAATTATTTAGGATTATGAGAATTGACAATAATGTCCACAAGGAACATAGAAGCTACCACTTGCCATGGTTGTGACAATTTAAAAACTAATAATAATTTTACATATTGAAAAGCACTAAATCAATGAAATACCTTGAGTCCATAATGACAATCAAAAGAAAGTCAGAAAAAAATTGTCAGAGCTATGTTTAAAACTCCTTACTTGTAACACTGATAATTAAAGGAAAGAATTAAACATGTGTTATCTTTTTTCAGGAGGTATTATAGTTTAGAAGTAATCTAACAGTTCCTATTGATGATTCAGAAGATTGCTAAACATAAAAGTGGAATGAATACAGAATTAACAAAATGTATTAAACAAACCCCAGTGTAAGTTTGGATTTGGGTAAGAATTAGCAACTGGTATTAAATCCATTAGAATTGGACCGTCATATTGTAACACCACACACATTACTCTGGGGTTCCAAGGAGAGCCACAGAAGCTTGGAAGGCATAGACTAACATCACCTTCACCCAATGGTTAATCTTAGTTTTAATAACCCTGGTGAGATATTGTGCCTTCTGATTTAATACCAAAAATAAATAAATAAATAAGTGGTTGCCTAGGGCTTGAAGGGGTGGGAATGGTGGTAGTGAGGGTTGTGGGGGAGGAGAGTGATGACTAAAAGGTACAGAGTATCTTCTTGGGGTGATAACAGTGTGTTAAAATTTATTGTGGTGATCATTGCACAACTCTGTGAATATACCAAAAACTCATGAGTTGTATACTTTAAATGGGTGAGTTGTTTGGTATATGAATTATATCTCAATAAAGCTGTTACTCAAAAAAAGTATATACACACAACTACATCCAGGTTAAAGCATCTTCAATCCAAGAAAAATAAAGAATATAGAAAGGGGGATTAGAGAAAGTTGGATACTCAAAGATATCAAATAACGTAGAGCATGAAGAAAAAGTATATTAAAGAATAATAAAGTACCCCCAAAATATCTTCTTCCTCTGTCTACCTTAGCTAAAAACGAAGATTTCCATGTTTCACAAGTATGTGGCATATTCATCATAAAAGTGATCTAGTAGTTTAAAATGTTGAAATTACTCTTCCAGGGCTATAATAGCAAAATTGAACCACCAAAATTTTATGAACATGCAGTATTTTCTATTGTTATATCTTAGAAGTTGATAAACAACTTTTTACTTGACTGGCTGAATATTAACACTCTACTATTCAAGATTCAGGTAAAACGTGTAAGTGGTGCACATGTATTTTAATGGGAGAAAATTGAATTACCTATGCTTACATCTTTGATATCTCCCACTGTTTTCATTCATTCCCTCCTTTTCTGGATTCCTTGCCTTCCTCAAGACCAGTTCAGCAGTAAAATCTAGACGATATCAATCAAGCCCAAGATGTCATCCAGCAGCAGAAGATTGTTGGAATAGGAGCCATCTCCATCCCTACAACTAGGTGGGTCTAAAATGAGTCTTGCTGCCATCCGCAAGACACTCTAAGGCCCTGAGATGCAACCCAAGGTAGCAGCCATATTTGTGAGTCATCCCACTGTAGAGACAAGAGCCTCTTCTACCTGCTTACTCTCGTGTCCAGCTCTGGCTGGGAGAGTCTTAACAAGACTGTACCCTGCCCAGAACCACAGTGCTTCACCCTGTAACTAGCCAACACTCAAAGACTCTTGCTGCCAAATCCAAGCTCCCAGTCACACTCCTTGGAGACTATCACAGGCTGAGCCCAAGAACCCCTTGAGCTTGTCTTCTACTCCAGACCCTCTATAATGGTTCCCTCTTAGACTGAGGCTGAGGCCTGGAAAGACACTATGCTCCCTTGTCTCCCTTAGACACTCTCACCTGGATGGATGTGAATGCAGGTCATCCATGCTGGGGGCACAGTGCCTGGCAACCGGACTGACACAGAAGTCATCTTTCCAGGGGTCCTAGCACTTTTTCTCAAAAATGTACAGAACTGGTCCTACACGATAATAGTTCTTTTTAATGAAACAATTTTTTTCTCTTCCCATTTGTCTCAGTCCATCCAATTTGTGTTGCTATAACAGAATACCACAAATTGGGTAATTTATAAGAAATTTATTACTGGCCTGGTAGCTGGGAAGTCCAAAGTCAAGGACCTACATCTAGTGAAGGCTTGCTTGCTGTGTCATTGTCATCCCATGGTGGAAGGCAGAAGGGTAAGAGAATGTAAGAGAGCAAGAGGGGACTGAACTCACTTTTATAAGCTCACTCTCACCATAACTCCCACCATTAATGCGATAATGATATTAATCCATTCATGAGGGCTCTGAATGACCTCTTTAAGGTCCTACCTCTCAACACAGTTGCATTGAGGATTAAGTTTCTAATACACGAACTTTGGAGGTCATATTCAAACCATAGCATCATTTAAGCAAATGGTCTGTCCTGTTCTTATTACCTCAGGAAAAGTATATTATAAGTAAAAAATAGAATTTTTTAAAAGGAATATCTTTCTGGCATTTGCATTTTCACATCTGTGTTCTTAAGAACAGGAAGGACTCACACTTAGAGACTTAGATTTGGGATAGTTTTGTAAAGAAAGGGTTTCTCCCCAAGGCTCACGGATAGACCTGAAACTTCAAAGGGGTCAGGAGTGTGTGGCTTGTATCCAATGAGATCTTCCTATCAACAGTTACCCCAATATTTGAGGCCACTGATTGATCCAGAAGACATGATGCTTCTTGCATCCCAAAATTTTGTTTTTTCTTATTCAATTCACTCTCTGTGAACACTTCCTACAACATCCCTGGACTACATAAATGCCAAAGAGAAAGATGGGAACCTTGACACCCAGTTGCGCAGAGAGGTGAGGAAGGGCAAGCTTTCATATCTGTTCCTATCTGTGGATGAGCAGGCTAAGCGGGAGAAAACTTCTCCACCAGGACAGTGGTGAAATATTCCTCCCCCATCCCAGCACCATCATAGAATTGTAGCTTAAGTGGTTCTACGAAGCATCACCTCCCAGCAAACTGGGAGGAACTTTGCTATTTCTTCCTGGGAGGAGATGCCATATCTAGAGCATGTTGTACGCTCCTGTGCCCTGCACAGGCAGCAGACTCATTCACTTCTCACAGACCAGCAACTTCTTCTCAGGCAACTTTGTTCTCTGCTAGACGCACACGTTATTTCAGCTTGCCTCCTATTTGTCTCTTTTGGCTGCTTCAGCAAACTCTCCTGTTTTCTCAGTGGAACCATACAAATAATGAGTCAAAGCCCATTTATTAAAGGAAAAAAAAAGAAGTAGAGTTCAAGTTTGGAGGGAAAAATACAAACTAAGGACCTCATGATTGGAAACTTGAAATAAGCAGAAAAATTTATTGCTCTTATGTTGCTTGATCCTACAAATCTTGATCAATGTTTAATGCGACCTAAAAGCAAAATAAAAAGTAAATATACTTTAATACAATTAAAACTGTTGAAAAGGCACAAGCCAAAGAAAACAGAGTTTAGGTAATTTCCATGTGACTATGCAAAGGGAACTTTTTGAGCATTTCAGACTATTTCAAATAATATCAAGTAGAACAGAATCATAAATTATCTTCTCAGGGTAGTTTTTATCTCATCCTTTCCTCTATTTCTGTTGCTATGCTTTCTCATCCTTCTTGTGGGGCCCTCTTCCTATGCGACCCTTTCAGTGTTGGAATTGCTAATGGTTTCTCCCTGGGCCCCCAGTCGTCTTCACACACTGCACACTAAATTCCCTGCTCCCCTTGCTTCATGTAGCACATATGCCTATTACTGATACATTTTTATCTCCTACTTGGGCCTCTTTTTTGTCCTCAGATGCATACCCATACATCAACTGGTCTTTGACTATTTTCTATTGCCTATCTCAGACCTACCTAAAAGTCACATCTCTATAACTGAAGCCACCATTTTCAAAACAAACAGACAAATTAAATACATAATTAATTTAAAAACCCTATTTTCTCTTATGTTCATCAACTCATCAAATGGTAACCCTCTTAGTTCAGCTGCCCAAGAAAGAAATCTGGGCTTCATCCTGACCCCCTCTCTCCTTGTCCTGTGAGTCAATTTCAAATACACGCGGTTTCCTCATCTCTGCTGTCTAACCCTGGTCAGCTTGCACCTGGGTCACTGCAATAACCTCCTAAGTAGTCTCCCTTTTCCACTCCTACCCCACTGCAACTCTCTCTCCACCTTAGAAAAACATAGATTGAATCTTTAAATCCTTTCAGTATTTCCCACAGCACTAAAGTCCAAAATCTTCACCACAACATACAGAAGCCAAGTGTAAGCTGGCCTTTATCTACCTCCCCAGCTTTAAATCACACCATTCTCCCAGACATAATACTGAACTATTTAGTTCCTTGAAAGCATCTTTCTCTCTCCATCCTCTTGGCTCTTCTCAGGCTAATTCCTTGAATTTCACTTACTCAGGAAGACTCATCCAGACTAGGTCACGTCTCCCTGCTCTGTCTCTCAGGGCACCTTCTCCATAGATCCTGGCCCTCAAAGTGCAGGAGCCCAAAATATTTTGTTCATTGGCATTTTCTAGCTCCAGGGCATAGTGCCAAGTCACAGCAGACATTTAACAAAAATGTATTCGTGATTGCCTGGCACAGAGTCCGTTTAGCTCTACTTTCTGAATGGCTCTTGTGATGTTTTGACCGCTAGATTACTACGATAACCTCCTAAGTGGTCTCCTCACACCTCCTTCTCCATGTTCTTCCCCACACTATAGCTAGATGATCTTTCTAAAATGCAGTTCTGATCATATCAGCCTCCACTGCCTTTAGAATAAAACCTAAGTCTCTGAGCAGGAATTAATTATAAGTCCTTTCATGGTCTGGCCACTGCTTTCTCCTGGTCTCGTCTCTCACTCACCCTGCCTCGCTCCCTCTTTACTGTCCTGTCTGTGTCTTCACACTTCCGGTGCTCTCAGTCTGGAGCAGTATCCACAACCTCCCATGTCACCACTGAGGAACAACTCATTGACCTGCTTCTGGAAACCTTCCCTGACTAAGGTTCCTCAGTTGTGCGGGCTGTCACCCTTTGTCAGTGCGTACTGATTAAAGTGACCGAATGTACCTCTCCGTCAGGACAGTCCTGGTTTATACCTGTTGGTCAGGCCCAATTATTGATAGCTCTTCCCCTTATTCTCAAACGTATACAGGTTTGGACAATAAATTACCTGCTCACTCTAACAATGACTATTAAATATTTGTCATCGTCTGTTTCCCCCAAGACAGTAAACTCCACTAGGTCAAAACTGTTGATCTTATTCACAGCAGCATTGGGCACAGTGCCTGTCATACAGAAGGCATAGTATGTTTGTTAAATCACAAACGTACTTGTATACCGGAAAAGCATGCACTTTCATTAGAATATTTATTTGGTTCCAGCGTTTTTGCTACTGAGAACCAAAATGGTGGGTCGCCGCTCAAAAAAAAAAGAAATTAAAGATAAAAAATGATTTTTAAAACATATTTTGAAGAAGTTTTGAGATTTTCAAAGTCTAACTTCAAAATACATGGATACAGATATTTAGATACAGATAAGCCAGTGACACACTCTATGATACAGCAAAATGCCCATTGACTGGGAATATAGTCAGCAACCAGCGAATTGGTTTTTTCTTTCTGTGAAGCAAAAGTGCCATTCTCCTACCAATCTTGGCCTTAGGCTTTGCCTACATTTTTAAAAAACCTATTTTTTACAAAACATGTTGATACTTACATCAGATAACATTGGCTCATCAAGTTCTTCTACTCTGCTCAAGTTGGGTGCTCCATATCGGTCACTGATTTCAGCTAGTGTTTTGCCTGAGTCTGGTGTTGCCTCCTACAATCATAAAATTTATTTGTCTTTGTAAATGACTTCCAAATTAATACATTCCTTTCCATTTCAATTTTAAAAGTTCTGAATGACAACATCAAAATTCAACATTGTTAATAAATGGAATTAACCAGTTCCTGTAAATGACAATAAACCTAGCAATAAATGCTAAAACATAAAAATACATGCAGAAATTTAAAATAACTGTCAGTAATTATGTGATCAATATTTCAGAGCATTCTAGGTTTTAAAAATACAAATATACCAGCCTGGGCAACATAGTGAAACTTTGTCTCTACAGAAAATTTTAAAAATTAACCAAGTGGGGCAATCCCCTCAAGTCCCCTCCCACTGTGGGAGCTTTTCTGTCCTCTCAATAAATCCTGTTTTTTAAAAAAATAAAGAAAGAAAGAAATAACCAAGTATAGTGGTGCACACCTGTAGTCCCAGCTACTCCAGAGGCTGAGGCAGAAGAATTGCCTGAACCCAGAAGGTTGAGGCTGCAGTGAGCCGTGGTCATGCCATTGCACTCCAGTCTAGCTGACAGAGTGAGACCACCAGCTCAAAATAAAATAAAATAGAATAAAAATACAAACACAAACTCAGTGCTCAATTTTTATCTACTTTGAGATTTTGCTTCAAAGCACATATTTGTGACTTGTTATTAATGGAATACATTTTCAGATTTTCAGTTTTTATAATATCCTTATTTAAAATGCAGATACGAAAGCATGAAAATTAAGCTTTACCTTTCAGAATACTCATTCATTGCACATAGCATAGAATAACTTTTTTCTCACCTCAGAATGTAAAGTATCTTCACTCTTAGCTATATTTTCCATACTCATTCTCATCTCCTATAATATATTAAAATGAAAAAAATACTCTGAATATACTTCACTTTGATTCCATGTTTAATTTTCAAGCATTTTTATTTTTACATAATGCTATGATCAGTTTAAAGCAAAATGGTTTTTCTCTGTAAGAAGTGACCTGAGACTTTATACAAATAGAAAACAACCATGTTTTATATACAATTAAAATTTTTTAAAAAATCAAAATGAGGCCCGGCACGGTGGCTCATTCTATAATCCCAGCACTTTGAGAGACCAAGGCAAGTGGATTGCCTGAGCTCCCGGATTCGAGACCCACCTGGGCAACATGGTGAGACTTCATCTCTACAATAAATCAAAAATTAGCCAGGCATGGTAGCATGTGCCTGTAGTTCTGGCTACTTGGAAGGCTGAGGTGGAAGAATCATCAGAGCCCAGCAGGTCGAGGCTGCAATGGCCGGGAGCATGCCACTGCACTCCAGTCTGGGTGACAGAGTGAGACTCCAACTCAAAACAAAACAAAACAAACAAACAAACAAACAAAAAACAAAATGAACTGAAACATCCAAACTGAAGCCAAATTATTCGCAAATGTGAAAAGTGACAAAAATTATAATAAAAACTTAGAACAAGAGATTTTAAAGAGAACTTGCAGTTAAGTAGATTATTGTACATAGTAAGAAAGAAGTAAATATTTCTTAAGGAATTAATCTGCCCCAAGTCACTCTCCAATGCATGAATCCTTTCCATAGTACCTGTGCATTGCCCTCTATAATCCTCTTGACACGGCAGCAGGAATGTGCTTCCCAGTATGGGAGGCCTCTTTCAGAATGTAAAAACATTTTTCTAGCCAAGCCAAACCTTGCTATGGTATCTATCTTTTCATTCTAAGGCAGCAGGGGTGGTTTAACAGATCCTGAGCTGATTCGTTTTGGTTGCTGGAAGATTCGTGATCTTGAGATCACACATATGGTTACTCTAACTATAGGAATATATATGGTAATGTTTTCCCAGGACCACTCCATTTTCCTGGTAACTTCTTATTCCACATTCATAAGACTATACTGGGAATATCCATATTCTTATAGTACCATGTCCACCAGCCACAGGGATAGATCTTTGAATTTATCCTTTAAAATCTCATTTTTTAAAAATGTAATTCACCCTTCACACTTTAAAAAATTGCTTTAAATAATAATACTTTCATCTAAGTATCCATAAACATATTGAACATGTTTTATAAAACTTGCATCTTTATTATGGAATAAATAAAGGGAGCAACATTTGAGCAAGAGACAGTAGCTATAAACTCAGTCATCCAAATGTTTGATCTATATGACACATACTTTTTGGGTACAGTACCAGGAAATATTGGTCAAACTAGAAGCTTGACATCATACAGACAACCAGTGAAGAAGGGTTTTTTTGAAATAAGTTACTGCATAGTCTATTTTAAGGAAAAGTATGAAAATCCATATAAAAACATATTTTAAGGAGTAAATTATTGTTAATACATTAACATGAAGAAATATAGTATAGTCTCAGGTATCAGAATACTCTCAATATTACAAAAAACTTAACCTTCAACATTAGCTACCATAATTAGGAACAGGTAGTTTTTGACTAAAATGTTGAGGATACCACTATTTGAGAACTCTACTTGTCACAAAGCAGTTTCACATACATGATTGTATTTAATCCTCACTGCAATTCAGTGTGATATTGTTAGTAATATTTTATTGCTACCCTAATTTTGAAACAGGGAAACATACCCAAAAAGGTTATGAGATTTGCTTAAGTCACACAGCTAATGGGTGGCAGGTCTTCAGATTATGAATCCCATGGTCTTTCTGCTAACAACTGGAAAAAAACAGTTTGAAGATTCTAAAAGCTTATAAATAAAACTGACATATATAAAACTTCAAATTACCATTTCTAATTGTTCTTGAGCTCTCTGTAGTTCTTCTATTCTCTGTCTCTCTTTTTCTTGCATTTCCAACTCCAGTTGGAATGCCAGCTGTTGCTGAATATTCAGAAATATGTTACATTACAATCAGATTAATTATAAGATAATTAAGTTTATATTCCCTACATTTCAGAAACTTACAATAAACGATCACAACCACCTAATATTTTAGCTTCTACAAAAGCATTTCCTGAAGTATAACATTTTAAAAACAGGAATCTTCCTTAATTGCTAATTGTAGAAAGTACAATTTGTATAAAATCAAATCATTTTCTCTGTTCTTAAAGAGATTGCAGGAATTTTTTCAGATAAAATTTACTTAAACAAAGTGTTGCCTTCAAATAGCCAAACTTCAGTTGTAGAAGAGTAAATGAGAAAATCTTAAGAATATAATCTGAAGTCATGGATAACCAACAATATTTTTGGTCCCAACTCAACATATATCACGTCAGAATAGGGGTCAGCAATTAAGCCTGTGTGCCAAGTCTGACCCAACTCCTGTTTTTTATATAGCCCACAAGTTAATGGTTAGGAAAAAATCAAAAGAATGATATATAATGCCATATGAAAGTCATATACAATTCAAATTTCAACATCCTTAAATAAAACTTTATTGAAACACAACCATGCTCACTTGATTTTGTATTGTCTACTATCTATGATTTCTTTTGCTCTACGACAGCAAAGTAGAATAGTTATAACAAGACTACATGTAGCATTCTCATTGCTTTTCATAGCTGCTCAGTACACTATGAACCATAGTGACATCGTTATAACAGCCGTGTTTGCAGTGCCACAGTATCACTATGATATGACATTTTAAACAATTTTATCCATCATGTCAAAACAAGAAAAGAAAGCCAGATACAGTGGCTCATGCCTATAATTCCAGCTATGTGGGAGGCTGAGGCAGGAGGATCACTTGAGGCCAGGAGTTTGAGAGCAGCTTGGCCAACACAGGGAGACCCCATCTATTAAAAAAAAAATTAAGAAAAAGAAAACAAGAGAAAAGAAGAGAACTTTGAATGCCATACTTTTAAGGCACACTGGAGTGTGTAATTATTTTGTTATCAAATTAAATGGCAATGTGGATTTGTTATACTATGATCCCATACTAAAAGAATATAAACATCAGTCAACATTACCAGACTAAGAACCTCATCACAATAGTCCCAACTCACACGAGTGCAAAGGTCAGAAAAATCAGAAAGTTTAAAACAATTATCACAGTAGAATTTTTTTACAAAAATACAAAATGAAAATAAGGCTGCACCAAAAGTAAATTTCCAAGTAGTTCATTTGTTATCTAAGCAAGGAAATATATTTACTAATCATGAGTTCATTAAAACATGTCTGATTTCAGTAGCCAAGAAAATGTGTCCAGAAAAAAAATAAAATTTGTTCATAATTTTAGCTTTTTGGTGACAGTAGTTGCTCAAAGAGTTGACACTGGGTGCAACATCAGTAGTCAATTAAAAACAAAGGCAGGGCAACCCCTTCGGGTCCCCTCCTATTGTGGGAGTTTTTCTGTCCTCTCAATAAATTCTGCTTTCTCAAAAAAAAAAAAAAGTCAAATGTTTCAAAAAAAAAAGTCAAATGTTTTTCATCAGTTCTTGATGAGCAGATGTTCTCAACACTGCTTGATTGATGATGCTTATTTAAAAGGTCAATGCTGACTTAGAAGTCATTGAAGGATCAACCTCTACAAATAGTCTTCATGGAACAATTACAGGCAAGGATATTTCCAAAGAAGTTGAGAAACACTAATTCAATACAACCCGAAGTGAAGTCTACCAAGATGTGTTACAACGGATGATGATGAAAATGTGTAGCGTAGAATAAGGCCGAGCTGAACAAATTTACAAAGCTTGTGAGGACATAGGGTGTTTAAGGCCTGTGGGTATTCATCATATTATTCAGCAGCAGCTACTCTGCAGAAAATATTTGAATCGACCATGTGTTATTGAGCAAGTAGTGTCAACAGGGATCTTCACTCACTCCTGTAAACCTGGCCATCAGCAGTGCTGTGAATTTTTGTCAGAAACAGAAGTTGAATATATTCTGATGTCTCCTACCACACAGCAGTTCCATGACTTAACAGTTTAATATTAGTTTTTTATCTCAGGGCCAAGATTTAACTTTTTTATTGTGTAAATTGAAAGTGTATATCAAAATGTAATGTTTATATATATATATGAATCATTACTAAGGCAAGCAATTTAACATACCCATCACCTCATATAGTTACTCTTCTATGGTAAAAACTTCTAAAATCTACTCTCTTAAAATATTTCCAGTATAGCAAGGCGCAGTGGCCCACGTCTATAATCCCATCACTTTGGGAGGTGGAGGCAAGAAGATTGCCTGAGCCCAGGGGTTTGAGACCAGCCTGGGAAACTTGGTGAGACCTTGCTCCACAATAAATCAAAAATTTAGGGCATGGTGGTGTGCGTCTGTAGTTTCAGCTACCTGGAAGGCTGAGGCAGAAGGATTGTCTGAGCCCAGCAGGTTGAGGTTGCGGTGGCCACGAACGTGCCACTGCACTCCAGCCTGGGCGACAGAGTAAGATTCCAACTAAAAAAAAAAAAAAAAAAAAAAAAATCCCAGTATACAATGCAATATTATTAACTATAGTCCTTATAGATCTCGATATTTGTTCATTCTACATAAGTGCAATTTTGTACCTTTTGACCTGGATCTCCCCATTGCTTCCTTCCTGGCCCAATCACCCAATCCCACTTCACCTCTGGTCACCACCATTCTATTCTATGTATTCAGGTATTTATTTTTAGATTTTCACATGTAAGGGAAAACTTGCAGGGTATGCATTATTTTTCTTTCAGTGTCTGGTTTATTTCACTTAGCATAATGTCCTTCAGTTTCATTTTGTGTTTTTGCAAATGGCAGTAGTCCTTTTTTAAGACTGAATAGTATTCCTTTATATAAGCATATCTATGTGATACATATATGCAAGATATCCATATAAGATATGTTTTTCATATATAAATATATGTGTCACATATATATTTATATATATGTGATATATATATATATCACATATATATATATACATATATATATATATATATATCTAGTCACCTATAAATAGATTATTTCTCTATCTTGGCTATTGTAAATAATGCTGCAATGGACATAGGAGTGCAAATAATCTGTGAACTGCTGATTTCATTTCCTGTGGATAATCCCCAGAAGAGGGGTTGCTGGGTCATATGGTAGTTCTATTCTTAATTTTTTGAGGTACCTCCATATTGTCTTCCATAATGGATGCACCAATCTGTATTCCCACAAAGTATGTACAAGGGTTCCCTTTTCTCCATACCTTCACCAACACTTCTTTCTCCTCTTTTTGATAACAGCCATCCTAACAGGTGTGAGGTAGAATTTCAAGGTAATTTTGATTTCCATTTTCCTGATGACAGTGATGTTGAACATCTTTGTAATATATCCATTGGCCATTTTATGTCTTCTTTGGAGAAATGTCTATTCAGGTCCTTTGCTCATTCTTTAATTGGGCTACTCATTTTTTTGCTGTTGAATTTGCATTCCTTACATATTTTAGAGATTTATCCCTGATCAGATATGTAGTTCACAAATATTTTCTTCCAATCTGTAGTCCGCCTTTTCATTTTGCTATTTACCATGAAGAAGCAGTTTTATCTAGTCCCACTTATTTTTGCTTTTATTGCCCGTGGTTTTGGTGTTATAGCCAAAAAAAAGCATTGCTGAGACCAATGTCAAGCAGCTTTTCCCACACTATGTTTTCTTCCAGGAGTTTTATGGTTTCAGGTCTTACATTCAGGTCTTAATCCATTTCTGAGTTGATTTTTATGTATGATGTAAGGCAAGCATCCAGTTTCACTTTTTTTTTTTTTTTTGAATCAGAATCTCACTCTGTCACTCAGGCTGTAATGCAGTGGCATGCTCACGGCCACCGCAACCTTGACCTGCTGGACTCAGGAGATCCTTCTGCCTCAGCCTTCCAAGTCGTTGGAACCACAGGCAGGTGCCACCACAACCGGCTAATTTTTTTGATTTATTGTAGACATGAGGTCTCACCAAGTTACCCAGATTGGTCTCAAACCCCTGTACTCAGACAATCCTCTCACCTCGGCTTCCCAAAGTGCTGGGATTACAGGCTTGAGCCACTGCCCCCAGTCCAGTTTCATTCTTTTGCATGTGGATATCCAGTTGTCCCAACACCACTTATTGAAGAGTCTATCCTTTCCCTCTTATGTCTTCTTGCAGGGCTTATCAAAAATGAGTTGATCATATATGCTTTGGTTTATTTGTGGGCTCTCAAATCTGTAGTATATGTGTCCATTAGTATATGTGTCTGCTATACTGTTTTAATTACTATGGTTTTGTGATATGATTTTGGATCAGGTAGTGTGATACTTCAACTTTATTTTTCTTTCTCAGAATTGCTTTGGCTTTTCAAGGTCTTTTGTAGTTTCGTACAAATTTTCAAACTGAGTTCTATTTCTGTGAGTAATACTATTGAAATTTTGAAAGGAATTGGTTTGAATTTGTAGATTGCTTTAGGTTTAACAATAACTTTCTCAATCAGTGAACACAGGATATATTTTGCATTTATTTGTGTCTTTTTCACTTTTTTTCATTAGTATTCTATAGTTTTCTGTGTACAGATCTTTCATCTTCTTGTTTAAATTTATTCCTGAGTATGTCATTCTTTTTGATGCTACAGTAAATGGAATTGTGTTTCCAATTTCTTTTTCAAATAGGTTATTTCTTTTTCAAATAAGTACAAGATTTACATTTTTCTTAATAAGAAAAACCATTCTCAACCACTATTATCAAACATCAAATGGCTTTGGAAGTTAGCTTTTGCAGAAAACTTGATGATTTTAATTCACTCTAAAATTACAAAGCAAAATAGCACTCATGTAAAACATACTGCAGCAAAGTCACTTCAACAACAACTCATGTTGTCTGAATCATAAGTAATATCAAGCTGCTTTATACAATTCAAGTGCCGTTGAAAACTAAAAGATATTAGATCTCCATTCCTACACAGCAATGGATATATTTTCCAACTTCAAATTGTACTTTCAGAATATTTGTTAGACCTCGATGTCAGTACAAAGGAAATTTCCATATTTCAAAATCCATCTAACTGTGTGATTAAGAAGCTTCTACCACCCTTCAATTGAAAGTGATTAATCTACAAGGGAATAACATACTAAAAAGCAAACAGCATGAGAAAAATCTAATAGAATTCTACAAATGCCTTCTAAGAGATAAATATGCTCAATGTAAATTAAATGCACATAGGTTGACATCAATATTTGACAGTACCTACCTGTGTGAAAAGACAGTTTCAAAAAGGAAATACATAAAATCTTATTACAGATCAGCAATAACAGATATTTCAAGTCAATTTTGATGATAGAGAACACTAACTCTGAATGCCAACTAAATGAAATATTACCTTAAAAAAAACATTTAATTTTCAATAGCAAACCTGTCTTACAAAAAATTTACTTTCAATTATTATTATTTGAATTTTGTCAATAAAATATTTGTGGAGATTCATTTTCTCTCATTTTGCCTATATAATATACTTTAATACCTCCATAATATCCTCAGTTTTGCCTCTTGGCCTGCAAAGCATAAAATATCTACAATCTGATCCTTTGCAGAGACGAATTTACAATTCCTAAACTAAAAAAAACTTTTCACCACCAGTCCAGCACCATCCCATAAATAAGCTAAGCTCATTCCATTAAGAGCATTTTACAACCACATTTTAAAAATAATGCGTTACTTAAATAATAAGCTTTTACAATTAAAGAAATAAACAATAACTAATATTTTGTTTGCAAAAGGATTTTAAAAGTAATTTATTGGTATTCCTATATTATCCCCACTGAGATCAAAGTGATGGGATAGAAAGAAGAAATGCAGAGACAACATCATTCAATCAACTTTCAGACATTGGTTGAGGAGGTGAAATAACTCCAGTCTCTCAACAATAATGAAAAGTGCACTTGTTAAATGCCAATCAGATTGGTCAAAATAACCAGTTTCTTGACATTTTCAAAACTAAATTCCTTTCTTCACACATGAGCAAAACCATTAGAAAGTCGTTCAAAACAAAGAAAAAAAGCTTTATTTCAAAAATAAGCTCTCACATAGAAAATGGCAATAAAAATACTTAAGGGAGACCTGGCACAGTGGCTCATGCCTACAATTCCAACACTTTGGGAGGCTGAGGAGAGGACTGTTTGAAGCCAAGAGTTTGAGATCAGCCTAGACAACACAGTGAGACCCCACCTCCACACACACACACACACACACACACACACACACACACACACAATAACTGGGCATGGCGGTTTGTGCCTGTAGTCCTAACTACTTGAGGGGCTGAGTTGGGAGAATCATTTAAGCCCAGGGGTTTGAGGCTGCAGTGAGCTATGATGAAGCCACTGTACTCCAGCCTGGGCAACAGAGCAAAATCCTGTCTCAAAAAATGAATAAGCCGGGCTCAGTGGCTCAGCCTGTAATCCTGCGCCTTGGGAGGCTGAGGTGAGTGGACTGCCTGAGCCCGCGGGTTCGAGACCCGCCTGGGCAACTTGGTGAGCCCTCATCTCTACAATAAATCAAAAAATTAGCCGCATGTGGTAGCGTGCACCTGTAATTCCAGCTACTTGGAAGGCTGAGGCGGAAGGATCGCCCGGAGTCCAGCAGGTCAAGGCTGCGGTGGCCAGGAGCGGCCACTGCACTGCAGTTTGGGCGACAGAGTGAGACTCCAACTCAATAAATAAATAAATAAATAAAATTTTAAGTCAGCAGTACTGACCATGAAGGCAACTGCTCTTGCAATAAGCAGGGAGGCATCCAGAGTCCCCAGCCTCCAGCTCACATGATTCAGAAGGCACTAAGAGAAGGCACTGTTTCTCTTCATCTCAGTCTCACTCTCTATTAAGCCCTTCTCTGTTGATTAATCTTTCCTTCTCCTTCTCCTTCTCCCATCTATTTCTAACCACCAATTCTTTACCTAGTCATTAAACCTCCTGCAGAATATTACTAAATCTTCCACTCCCAATACAATACTTAGGGTTCAATGCACAGTGGATTAGTTCATACTTGTCAACATAATATGGCTAGAGAAATGTGTGATTTCTAGTACTGCCAAAGTATATGTAAGACAAAGTAGATGAGTTGAAGAAAATTAACCATCTCCCCATTTGTGATGCAATTGTCATGGGGAAGGAGAACTGCTGAGAATCCCCCTTATTCTGATACGTAGGGACAGATACCAGCTATAGGAGCGGTAAAAGGAAGGTTCGATCCTTATCCACAGCTGTAGCTGCCGCAGGAGGCACCTGGCCCGTTTGGATGACAGTTTGACACATCTCAACACTTTGCAGCCCAGCAGGTTGAGGCTGCAGTGGCCCGGAGCCACTGCACCCCAGTCTGGGTGACAGAGTGAGACTCCAACTCAAAAAAAAAAAAAGAATAAGCCAAATGACTGAAAATGAAGACTCAGAAGCGGCAAAGTTTTCAACAGCACTATTTATCTAAGGTATCTAGAATTTTCTCCCTCAATATCAAGGATGAGATACCAGGCAGAGAAGCTATTTGCCAGGTTTATATTTTTCTTTATATCCATATATCCAAAAAGTAAGCTTTCCCTTTTTGAAGTTTTTAGACTCAGTTAGGCATGGTAGCTTATGCCTGTAATCCCAGTACATCGGGAGGCTGATGTGGGAGAAACATTTGAGACCAGGAGCTCTAGACCAGCCTAGGCAACACAGCAAGACTTTGTCTCTACAAAAATTTTTTTTTTTTTAATTAGCTCAGTGTGGTGGCATGTGAGTTACTTGGGAAGCTAAGGCAGAAGGATTGCCTGAGCCCAGGAGGTGGAGGCTGCGATGAGCCTTGATCATGCCACTGTACTCGTTTCAAAAAAAAATAAGAAAAGAAAAGAAAAAAGAAATGTGTAGACTCAAGATGAGACTCTGGAGTTAAGTACTGTCTAAATTTAGCCACTGTCTATAAGTCAAATCAATCCAGAAGTCACTCTGGAATGTTTCCCTATCCAGCTTATACTCTATGACCCATCCCTCCACTCTTCCCTTACCAACATCTTCAGCTCTTCATACTACCACCCCAAGCCCACTTCAGTCAGAGGCTCCACTTCTTCCACATCTTCACTCAGATATCTAGGCCTAAGTGAAGAAAACCATATAATGACAAACCAAACCAAACATCAGCATTATGAATGCTTGGCCTCCAACTGCTACCAAGGAATGCTAAGTTTCAACTCTTCCATTCACCAAAGCCACCATTTCAAACCTTCACCGCTCACTCCACACCTCCCACCTTACCACCTCATTTCTTCATAAAGGAAACAGAAACAGTCACACACAGTTACAGCATTGTGCCTCGAAATCCTCACACCTACATGTGCCTATACCATCCTTTCTCTCCTCTTTCACTCTGTTATAATCAAGGAAGTGCCCTCCGCCTGCCTAACCTACAATCCAGACCCCATTTCCTCTTGTCTTCATGGGGAGCTGGCAATAAATCTTCCCCTCTATTTCCTCATGTCACCCACTCCCCCACACTGTGTTCCTAAATCAAAACAAACACAAAAACATCTCTCCTTCCCCTTCAAAGTCTCCTCAGAAGCACTGCTTGCACTTTCCATCTCCCCAGCATAACCCCACCGCAGCCTAGCACCACCACTCAACCCACACTGCTCCCATTCAATTACAGTGGCCTCGGATGAGCACTTTTCAGGTCAGCAATAGGTATGATGGACCAGTTGGGTCTCACTGAAACATTCTTTCCGTTTGGCTTCTGTGATAGCACATTCTCTGGATTTGCCTCTTACCCAAAGGTCTGTTACCTTTTGTATAAGCAACAGCAGTGGGGAAAGGAACGTGCATTGTGTCATAAATGTAGTCATAAAAACTCACTGCTGCCACTTCTCCAGCAAAGAAGACACACTGTCCATAAACAAGATAGTAGAAAGCCATATCTGTAAGCAGAGCTGGGAGGTTTTCAACATCTGGGTTGCACCACACCCAGGCTGATATTGGTAATTCTAGACACCTCTGAATTCTCTTTCTTGACTCACCTGCTGAAACAAGAGCTCCTCCGCTTTGAGCCTCTCCATCATTTCTTGCTCCATCAGAGCTAATTCTCTTTCATGTTCCAATTCAGCCATTTCCTTTTGTCTCTAGCATTGTTTAAAAACAATAGCACATGACATATTAGAGACAAAACAGTTGTAAAAATCTTGAAAACAACTTAATCGCCAACAGTAGGGAAAAGGTTAAGAAAATTATAGTCTATCCATTTGGAAATTATATAACAATTTGATAACATATGTCTATGCTATTTAAATAAACAGCACATTAAAATTATATATCATGTATGATCACAAGTGTGTTAAAAAATCTATGGAAAATGTGTAGAAAAAAGTCTTCACATAAAAGAAAATACCTAAAAATCTAAATAGAAATCTTCTTTGGATATTATTTTCTCCTTTCTACTTTTTCATGTTGTCCAAGTTTTTGTATAATAAACATTATTTTTGTGAAAAATATTCATTTTGAACTTTTAATAATTTGTTTGTTTATTTATTTATTTTTTGAGTCAGTGACTTGCTCTGTCACCCAGACTGGTGTGCAGTGGCATTCTCACAGCCACTACAGCCTCAACCTGCTGGGTTCAGGCAATTCTTCTGCCTCAACCTTCCAAGTAGCTAGAACTACAGGCATGCGCTACCACACCTGGCTAATTTTTTGATTTATTGTAGAGATGAGGTCTTGTCATATTGCCCAGGCTGGCCTCGAACCTGGGGGCTCATGCAATCCTCTCGCCTCTGCCTCCCAAAGTGCTGGGATTACAGGCATGAGCCACTGCACCCGGCTTGAACTTTTTTAAAAAAGCAGGCAAATTGGACCGATTATTTTACTCTTCTAATTTCCTCAAAGGAGATTCTTACTTACTAGTTGTTCCATAGTCACATTTTCCTTATACTTGTAAATCCACAATGCTAAATATTCTATTGGATCCACTGGGCGAGCTCTTGCCACCTCTGCAAGACCCTGAGTTAGGCATGTCCCAAGGTGCTTTTGAAGATATGACGACTCCATTTCTAACTCCTAAATAAAAACTTTTTAAAAATAAGTGTTTTGCATTAGTGCAGGAAATTCTCAATTAAGATACAGTAAGAGTTAAGTCCAGTGAGACCAACAGGGTATTACACCCTATCCTCAGTTGTGGGCATCTCTCACTGGGGATGGCACAAGCAAGCTGGCCCCAGGAAACTTGTGGCAGTTTCCGAAAGGGTTCCACAGAAGTCACTACAACTAAAATAGTTTCAAAATCCTGAACGGCTCTCAAATACAAGAGTCAGAGAAAAGATAATATCATTATTGACAGCATGATGACTTTATTTTCGGCAACATATGCTTCATTTAATCCTCACAACATACCAGAAAAATAAGTGTCACTCTCCCCACTGGGCAGATGAGAAAGCCTGGGCACAAAAAGCGTACATGCACAGTTCAGGATCACACAACTGACAGAAGAAAGAGATAGAGTTTGTACCCACTTCTTGATTCTAGAGTCCCAACCCCAAACTACACTACAATAATTTTTCTAAGTCATGAGAGCCATGTTACAAAACATCACAATAATCCACCTTAAAAAAATGCATGCATTTCCAGGTCCAAAGAGTAAAAATTCAGCCTCCAAAGAATAGTACATGAAGCTTCTCATAGTCTGGCCACAATTTTCTTTTAGGTTCACCTCCATACATCTCAACTGCCCCACCATATCTTGGGTTGTAACTCCACTGAACATTTTGCCATTTTGCTGGTCATGCTTGCACTTTTCCATCTCCATGACTCTTGTATGTGATGTCTCACGCTCAACTTGGAAAATATCTCCCCATCTGCAAGGTGTAGATGATTTCTTATTTCCTGAGCATTCCCAGACAACCCAAAGACATTCTTCCTTCTCTAAGCAGCTAACACAGCACCTGTCGCACTACATGAGAATTACCTGTATGTGTGTGTATGTCCTCCCACTGGAAGACAAGCTCTTCTAGCTTCTTGAGGAGTATTTTAAGCACAGGGCTGACACAGTTTTCTCTCCACAGTGGTAAGGAATGAGTTTTTCCACTCTCCCAATTATGTCTTTATCTTTCCAGTTATGAAGATAGACAGGAATAAACTTAATAGATGTTTTTTCCTTTTTTGAGTTGGAGGCTCACTCTGTTGCCTAGGCTGGAGGGCAGTGGCATGCTCACAGCTACCGCAGCCTAGACCTGCTGGGCTCAGATGATCCTTCCGCCTCAGCCTTCCAAGTAGCTGGAACTATAGGCGTGTGCTACCACGCACAGCTAATTTTTTGATTTATTGTAGAGATGAGGTCTCGCCAAGTTGCCAAGGCTGGTCTTGAATCCACAGGCTCAGGCAATCCTCTCACCTTGGCCTCCCAAGGTGCTGGGATTATAGGTGTGAGCCACCACACCTGGCCGCCAGATTGCTTTTTTAAAAGAAAATAAAATGAAGCAACTACTATAATCTTAGGTGCTTTGGAAAAAACTGATCACCCTCAATTTACTCTAAATAGTTTATGAAATCCAGACTCTTCTAAGAATCTGATGAAATATATTGTTATTCAACAAATAAGTTCTAAGTATCTACATCAGGTACCACAATAGGTACCAGGAATACAAAACTGTTGTACATTGGATGTTTGTGTCCCCTCAAGATCCATATGTTGCAATCCTAATACCCAGTGTGACAGTAACAGGAGGTGGGGCTTTTCAGAAGTAATTAGGTCATGAAAGTGGAGCCCTTATGAATGAGGTTAATGCCCTTATAAGAAGAAACAGGAGAGCCTGCTCTTGTTCTCCACCCTCCACCATGTGAGAATACAACTAGAAGATAGACATCTGCAAACCAGGAAGAGGGTCCTCCTTAGACACCAGAAATGCCAGCACCTTGATCTTTGACTTCCCAGTCTCCAGAGTTGTAAGAAATAAATGTGTGTTTTTAAAGCCACCCTGTCTATGGTAATCTGTTATAGCAGCCCAAACTAAAACAAAAGGTCTCTGCTTTCATGGAGCTTATAGATGAATAGGAAAGACAAATACTAACCACATATTCAAATCAATAAATATAAAATGAAAATTGAAATAAGTACTATGAAGACCACCTGAACAAATGTACCTGACACTTTTCATAAAATTTCAGAAACACTGACATCCTGAGATCCATCCACAGGCCCCAATACTGCTGTCATGGTGGTGGGAAAGAAAAATGGTATAACCCCTATACAAAGGAATTTGCCATAATCTAGAAAATTACATATTCATTTATCCTTTGATCCACCAATCTCTCTTCTTGGATGCTATCTCAAAGATGCACTTGCAAAAATATGAAATGGCTACCCTACAATTTTAAATAAAAATTAAAAGAAAAAATATGAAATGGCATATGCACATGGTTATTTGCACCATTATTTATAATAGTCAAACTGGCACACCATCTGAATGTTCATCAACTAGGGGACTGATGAGATATGCAATGCAATGGATTATTATGCAGATATAAAAGAGAATGGGGGAAGCTTTCTAAAATAGGGAGTGATCTCTAGGGCACAGAATGAAGTAAAGAAAGCAAGGTGCAGAGATTGTATGAAATAAGTCATACAATTGTGCTTTAGCAGTAGCAGTGGGGAAAGAAATGTGTATGTATTGAAAACAAATGGCACAAATGAACCTAATTCCCTATCAAGTTGGCATTGGTGTCCTAACCACACAAGAATTATTACAATTGACTTTGAAACACAGTATCTTCACTCTATTTCTTCAATGGGATATATTCTAAAGACAAAAGTACTATAGACACCTAAACATCATTTGAAGTGAAGTAACATATAAAAGGGAACGGACTCCTGCTGCTGTTCAGAAAAATAAAACACGAGAATCTCTAAAGGGAAAACTTCTGACTTCAGAGTTGAGCCAAGTTAAGGGTCTGTCTCAGATTTCCGGGCATATTAGTGGGACCCGGGCAAGCCTTGTCATCTTGCTTGGTGTCTCTTTCCTATCCACGAAATGACAATAATACCCATCTCTCCTGTTATAAGTAATTTTTCATTTTTCACATATGTCAATAAAGCATCTTGGCTCAACATTAGAAAGCCTCTTCCCATAGAAACAACTGCCTCCAGCCTGAAGAAGTTGTCACAGGTGATAGAAGAAAAGTTTCCTTGCCTACACCCGGGAGAGAGCCAGCTAGTCCAGTGAGCAGGGAGGGGACCTGGGCAGGGGTGCCAGCCTTCGCAACTGAAAATACAGCACGCCCAGTTAACTTTGAATTTCAGATAGACAACGAATAACTGTATGACACTTTATTTGTACTAAACAGGAACTCGTTTACCTGAAATTCAAAATTAGCTAGGCCTGCAGTACAGTATTTTATCTGGCAACCATAGGTTCTTCCCCAGGTCTGTGGAAAGGCCGCCCCTCCCCTGGGGTGCTGCACCCTCACCATTCAGGGGGAGGAGGAGCAGGAGGAGGAGCGCGAGCAGAAGCAGGAGGAGCAGGAGC